CCTGCCAAAAGCTTTCCAGCCTCCCAAAAGCATCTGAAACCACCCCTCCGCCACAGCTTTAACCCATTGAGTTCTGGCGGATCTATCATTATTCCCTGGCGCGCTCCCCCTTGCGTCGGCCGGGGTCGGCGGACATTGCTGATAGCAGGCTTGAGTAGGCTGTAGCGAAGCTCTATTGATAGGTATGCCGGTTTGGCGGCCGGAGCTCTGCGTATTGCGCGAGTGAGAAGGGAGTGGCCGCCCTCAACGGAGCGTTCTATCACCCGTACCTCAAATTCAATGGTCGTACCAATGACTGTCAATTTGCTATTTGCTGTGAGACTAGTGGTAGTAGCTTAGTCCAACGTCCTGGGATGGTTCAGTGAGGTGAGGTGGTCTTTCAAGCCAACGTACCAAGGTGCCAACCTGAAGGCACCTACCCAATGCGCAAATGCTTTCAGCAAATCATTGGGCAGATCAAATACACCTGCTCCCTGTGCAAGAAGATCAATAGCAGGGCGAAGTGGAATGTCCAACTCATCGTTTGGCCTGGTGAAGTGGGCATTACCTTTGGTGTCCTGTCAGCTAGTACTAGTATTAGTACTGTTGTTCATTGTTGATGGCTGTCTTTATGAGTGTTGCTGTCGTTGTTGTTGGCTGCCTTTTCTCGTATCTCTTCTATCCTTTTTTTACAATTAAAACTCTTCCACACGTTGATCTTGTTCAGTGGTGATAGGTAAGCTCTACATACACTGGGTGTATCCCATTTCCTTCAACAGTGGATGGTGATGGAGTAAAGGCCCTTTTCAATTGCTCAATGTGATGAAAACCTTTTGTTGACTGTTACAGGTCCTAGCCTCTCAGCGGATCCTGCCTGAAAGGTTGATAAGCAGGGTTCAAGAATCTTTGAGACTGCTTGTGCAAACATCCTGGCCCTTGCTGATCCCACAAAACAATCAAAGCCCTGCTCATTCTTGTAACGATGACGCGGTCTGGGTTTGCCAAAGAACCTGGATGATTGATGATTGAATAACAATTTAAAACATATATAGAACTGAATCAGAAACTGTAGAAACAATCTGAACATTAGCAATAAAACAATTGGTATCGGCCCGGCCCTGATCCCATACAACAAAGACAGATTTGCTTCTACTTTCTGCAAGACACAAAGCTTCCATGGAAGTTCTCCCCAATACTTCAACTAATGCTTCAACATTAGTAATACAAACATTGGAATTGGATCCTGGTTGTCTGTGTCTTGCCTCAGGGCAACACCAGCAGCAGGATGCCTTGGATTTTTCTTTTCAGAAAGAACATATTTCTGTGGCCTCCTGGAAAAGAATGACATTGCTTATTAACTCTTTGTATGTCCTGAGAAAATATCAGGGAAGAGTGAAGAAGAACAAGTATATACAAAAAAGTTAAACAACAGGATGAAAACAATATCAATATCAATGCATTTCAAATCCAAGCACGCACCATCCACCAGATTAATCTGACCCTGACCATGCACTTCATCCTCCAGTTCTAGCAACTCCCCATTCTGTATGGCGGCCAGTTCATCTCTAGCACATGGAACTGTGTCCAGGATTTTGCTGGTCTCGTGATGAAGTGTTGCTAGTGAAACAGCAGGCAACTCGCAAACAGATGCCTCCGTTCCTGAGGAAAATGAAAAGGAGCAAACTAAGTGATCAACTTTCACACTGACCACACATAAGTCATCTCCGTTGCTACCGGCTATAGAAGTTCACCCACCCCCTCGCCTCATTTTGTCCAGAAATTCGTTAGTGACTTTCACACACCAAAGGTTTAGGCAAGTCATTTAATTGAAAAAGTGAAAAAGACAGCAACTTTTTCACAATGTTATGTTTCCTTAAACATCAAGTCCAAAACACCAACCTACAAGAAGCGCTCTCACACTTTTGCTAGTTGGTTTGGCATTCACTTCCAAGGTAGACAAGAACTTGAGCCAACATGGCCAGGCAGTTTGGCTAGTGAAATGTATTTAGGAAACATAACCTGCTTTCCACAGGCTCCAAGCACGTACAAACACCTGGCTAAGTTGACACGTTTGCAAATCTGTTGCTGCCAACTGCCAACCAATTTATTTAAGGTCCATGTCAGATAACCCTTTAGATAGCCGGTAGCAACAGGGATCCATAAGTCTAACTTAAGTTGAGCGTCCTTGATCAGTTGTCAAACAAATCACGGACTGACAATACTCCTCAAGACGCTGGTGTCCCACCTCAAGGGATAATGTCCAGATCAATGCTCTTGCCTTGTGCACCATGTCAGTGCATCCTGCAGCGAAGGGAGGATACTGAGGATGCATTGCAAACTGTGAAATGAAAGTGAAACGGACAGTTGAACAGACTAAGCACACGCTGTACAACTCTAGCACCAAACTGCTTGCCTTTTCCAAGGCAACACAATGGCAATGGCCGTCTTTCAGTGTTCAATACCTCATCTGATGATGAGCCATTTGCAACCTCTGAGTCATCTTCAAGATAGTCATCTCGAGAGGCACGCAAGCTATCAAGATACTCTCTTGTTGAAAGGGCGGACCTGAGGCGGAAGGAAACCTACTATCAGCAACACTAGCATAATGCGCAGACCATGCAGCCAAATGACTTTGTAGAGAACTCCTCTGTCAACAGCAGTTCATATTTGTGGGTGCTCGAGTCAAAGCCTCGCTGACCCACCGATCACGCAAATCAGATTGCTTGACGCATTTCAACTCAAGTTGAGAAAACCTTACAATCAAAATGAAGTGAGTCAAAGAGACTGAGACTCAACCAAAAATCCCTTACACCTGCTTGTTGCCATTGAAGCCTTCTGGTCAGCATCAAAAACACGTCTAGTTTGGGTCTGGCCCTGGTGAATGTCGATGGAGAAGGCCCCAATGTCTCCTGGTCATCCTCATCTATCGCCTCTTCCTCAGCAAAGCAACATAGACTATCCGACAAACTCTCACCCTAGCACTAGCAGTTGCCCTAGTTTTGGGAGGTTTCTGTATCTTTCCAGAAGATGACCATGACAAGTACATGTGATCGAGTCGAGTGTCTGTTGTGAATTCCAGCTGTTCAAACTCACCAGTGGCCAATTGCAGAGCAGCTTTGACTGCTCTGTCAAATTGATCATTGTTTCGCAGGTTGATTGCCCTCAGGAGCATGACATTTGCGGATAAAACTTATTTCATCCCAAACGTCACCATCAGGTAACTGATGACTGTTGTTAAAAAGAAACCTTTAACTGCAACTATTCATTCAGGAGATGTGAAATGTATATCACCCACCTGCAACCACATCTATTTGATCGTGGGATCAAGAAAACATACTCCAATGACTCCAATGGTATCGTGGTACCAGGGAGGAAACATAACCCTTCAACTTAACTACGAACGTCCAGTCGCAGGTTCATGAACTTGTATAGTTGCACGATAGAATAAGCTGGCCGACCACGCTGCAATCTGATGCATGGCTGTAGCTTCTGCATGGCATTCTCCTTCAGCTCCACGTCTGCCTGTTCATGACTCAAGGTGACATCATTGTCCGATGAACATGGAAGCCAGCCTGGAAACCTTCCAAAGTCCAAAGTGTTATATTTCACTACATACATGCCTTTCAAGATCACTTGACATGCGTTACTGAACTGTCACTGCCCTTCCACATATTGCCTGTGCATTTGTACACACACCCTTGTTTTTGGTCCCTTCCACATGCGGCCCGGCCCGGCCTGCGTTATTTTTTGAAGTTCTTGCATTCCACTGGTGAACTGCCCAATCTGCCAGGGTCATGAGAATCAACACTTGCCTTTACCCATTGAAGCGCGTTGAGCATGAAAACTGACTTCTGTCACTCACACTCTGTTTGCTATTTTATTTCTTGAGGTATTCTGACAGGACATGTGTTTGTCCATGTTTTACTGGATGTCTTGTTTCCTAGCCTGATCCACACTGCCATGTTGTAAAATCGGCTGCGCCACAACCATCATCTTCTCATATATACTGGCTGCCGCAGCTGCCAGGCTGGATAGCTGCCCAATGGTAGCTATGTTTGGGAAATCACTAAAGCAGCAACACTGTAGATTGCTTCATGCATAGTTATCGGGTTTGAACCAGTCATCACCCTTTGGTCCTGTTGATGATTCACCTTCATTAATTTGGACTTGCATCCGTGTGATATCACAAAGACACTGCTAGGCATTGTAATTTGTCTTACCATATGTCTCTCATCTGCAACTCATGGATGGCCACCGAGCGCGCCCTTCACAGATTTCTGTGAAATCTTCCTGTGCTGCAGAATGGGGCAGCGAGTTGTACATCCGACACTCATACTTATAGGCCAAACACTTTGCCCCCTAAATGTATCTATCTGCAACTTATAAATCTTTTTGCCCAAATGTCGCCAAGCTTTACGAAAATCGACATGTCAAGGAAAGTAGACTCCACAAACTTGCTGTGAGAGAGTAAGATGGAGGCCATCGCTATTTGGTTGGAGGCCATCGCTCCTAGGGTGGAGGCCATCGCTACTAGGGTGGAGGCCATCGCTGCTAGGGTCGAGGCCATCGGGTGGAGGCCATCGCTAGTAGGTTGGAGGCCATCGCTACTAGGGTTGGGGCCATCGCTACCGGGGTGACGGCCATCGCTATCGGCGTGGAGGCCATCGCTACTAGGGTGGAGGCCATCGCTATTAGGCTGGAGGCCACCGCTACTAGGGTTGAAGCCAATGCTATTCTTTTGGGGGATCTATTTGCGAGAGTTGCTCTTTGCCGGTGCCAGGTTCCAACTCTTAGAGCAAGAACTCAAAGACCGTGCAGAGAACATCAGCTTCTCCGAGCAGGCACCCTGTCCCTGAAACGAATTCACCAATAGCCAGCTGAGAACTGATAGAAGGGTCCTTGAATGTCCTTGCCTAATTACGGCTTAGTAAAGGATGGCCTTTGAGGTATTTTGATCATTTTTGATCAGACCTCAGCTGTTCAAGGTCTTTGGTCATGCAAAGGATTTGTGTGTGTTCTTCCGGCTTGCAGGCACTCGCGTCCGAGCGACAGCAGATCTTGCGCTCCCGCGGGCAACTTGCCATGGTGCCTCCCCTCGCCCTTGGACACAGCCTGACACAGCCAAGGGCTTCAAAGTTCCGGGTTCAAGATCATGTGAACTTCGAAAAGGACAGGCATCAAGTATCAACCTAGCCGAACTGAGAAGGAGGGCCTTTTGCAGCTCCTCAGCGGGCGCGTGCAGTCTCATAGTGATTCGGATGTGACCCAAAACACTTCTATCAACTGGCAGGTGCAGGCTCACGTGGTGTCACTGCTTGGAAAGGCGGGGGAGAGACGGCACAACCCAGGGTCTCATGTTTCCGACTCTTAACAACAAGCAGCTAAGTTCACCTGGATGATGGACAACAAGAAGCTGCGCGAAGCCGTTTTTCCCCAATGGCTTTGGAATTGCAGTAAGCATGTGTAACAGTGAGCGTTGGGTGACATTCATCCTCAGAAATTGATTGTGCTTGCGCTGGGTTTGTTGCCCGGTTTGGCTTTTTCAGGACAAGCACGGTGAGCCTGGGAAGCCTGATTCACACATCTTGGATACAGATGAGCCAGAGGCAGAGCGACATCCATTGGACCGTTGGAACTAGAGGTTGCGAATCAGTTGCGACACTTCGCCCGTTGCTCTGCAGGCTGAGTTGGATGCTCCTGAGGGTGAAGACATGTGGAACATGGTGCCCTTGGCAGAACGGGCTGTTGATGGCATTGGATGCCTATTGAGAATTAACCTCCGTTGTGTAGAACAGCATGTGGCTTTCACATGGGCGGAGACTTTTGGGAAGCTCTTGCCAAAATGGCATACAGTGAAATGTCAGGTGTGTCATGGCGTCATGGGGCGTTGTCGCTTGCAACACAAGTCCTAAATATTTGATACTCGTACCAAACTTGTGGGCCAGCCCCCAGCTCACCGCATCTCACCGCTGATACCATATCTCATCGTATCTCTTTGGGAATGTGTGATGCTTCAGTTTCCATCTCCTGTGGCTACCTTTGCCCGTGTCGTATGTCAACATATGTTAAGATCGGATGTCCTGTTCCCCCCTCAGGATTGGTCGGCAGTGACGGCTGCAAAGCCAGAGGCAGGTACCACTAAGAAGCCACTTGCTGCTTGCAATGTGTTGGGAACACTCCAGCTTGTTTCACTTCTTCAAAGCAGTTGAGCCAGTGCTTTGTAGTGCCTGAGCGTTCTTGTTTCTCCCATGCAGCTGCCTCATTTCGCAGGAAGGAGTAGCAATCCACTAGCCTTGAGATGAGGGCAGCACCAACGAGCCTGTTTCTTCAAACAGAGATTGGGGACTGCACATGGGAGCCATGTGACAACACTGGTCTCTAGTTTCAGCATGTGCATTGCATTGTAACGCCGTCTTTGATCTTTGTAGCTGGCCTTCCCGAGCAACTGTCCCTTTCTTCTTCAGTCTTTGTTTTGACTCCTTGGTCCTTCAGGATCCTGGATGGGAGGTAGCTCTTAATTTGGCGCAAGTCCGCCCGTAGCTTTGACAGCCCATCGCGGCATTCTTTCGTTCACAGGATGAACTCCCGGAAGTTCGGGGATGATCTTAGCCTCACAACATCACAGCAAGCTTCCAGTGGGACGAAGAAGTTTCGATGACTCACAGCTTTCGCCATCCAGCTCGACAACTGACTGACAACTGGTTGCATTGTTCTCATCCACTTTTTGGTGTGCTGACAAACCCACTGGAAGCCTTTAGCTTCGTCTGCTTCACTGCAATTTGTCCTTCGCCGGAGATAGCCACGTCCTTTCAGCAGAATGAGTTGTGGCTGCACTGGCGCCCAACGCAGGCGATGAAATTCGTTTCTGGGGTGGTGTCACACGGGGACAGGAGGCCGGGGTCACATGGCAGCTATCCGCCAGCTGCAGCCGGAATGAGGCTGAAACCCAATGCGGAGTCGGCCCGCCAGCGCCCACAAGCGCCACAAGTGCCCCAAGGCCTCACCCCATGAGTCACCGAGATGGGGGAGTGGATGGCTTTGGCCATCTTTGGCCGGGTCGACTGCATAGCACTGCGACTGTTCAGCCAGGGCCATTCCGCTTGGAGAAAACGGTCAGCAAATGGTTGCGCCAGATTCTGCGTGCATGGTCAACGAATGTATTTTTCCGGTGTGCATCCTTTCAATACGAGCAGAAAAGGTGCTAATGGATAATATGGGACCTTCTAGCCTTTAGCAGTGAAACATCCAGCAAGTTGTAAGTTTGTGCTGAGATTGTTGCGTTCATAGCAGTCAGTTGCCATTCTCCGCAGATGAAGCTCTGAATGTAGTAGTTCCTGGAAACTCAGCACCGAACCAGCAATTGTTCTCTTGCCACGTTTGACGCATCTCATCTACATACCACCTCATACCGACTTGATCCACCTTGTTTCTTTGAGCTTCGGATCCCGCACGCATTTCCCATGGAGCTGCTGGCGCTGGCGTGGCTGACTTTTGCAATCTTACTAGCTCCTTTTGCATACGCACCTAGACAGTATCGGTATCAGAAATGTTTCTTGTGGACTACTCCCAGGGTGGGCATCTACTGTATGTATAGAATTAGAATACTTTGGAGTTCCATGACCATGACTTTGGACAAGTTGGGAAGGTCTGAGTTTATTTGCTGGGTAGCACCTCATGCACAAGCACAAGTGCATAATATGGGGCTGGTTTGATGTGGACTTTGAACATCATTGATGGTATATAGTATATAACTATAAACGTAGATTTGGAGGGTGTACGGCCAAAAAACATACATGTCCTCGTATCCGGATGTTCATTCCCAGGAAAACACGTTATATATGTTTGACTGGCTGACGCTATGATGAGAATTTGAATCGATGTGCACCGCCCCCTGCATACATTTCCTTGAGACAACCTATGCTTCCTAGGGGCGATTTCCACCTCAACAACATGTGTGAAACACAGTGGGGGACATTGGGCCAGGTTCGAGGCCAAGTGTATGAAGGCCTTCTGTCAAGGACGGCGGGGTACATCATATATATAATTGATGGTGACTCATCTTCGGTTGGTAGGTCTGGGATGAGTAGGTCAATTCGAGGTTCATTGAGCATTCGTTCGATCATTGATTTTTTTGATGATAGTCAAGATGGCATTGTTCAATGCCATTTTGGCTCAAGATCTTGAGCTCCACTGTTTTTTTTTTGTGATCGCTCCGCTCGGAGGGCCTGGGTCATGTCGTACCGTGGCAAGCCACCGTGGTGGAGGCGGTCATTGGCCGAGTGGAAGGGGCTCAGGAGGATCTCAGGGGGCATCGTTCAGCTCCGCAGGACACAACCCCTTTGAGGTCAAGATCCCCAAGTTCTTGGACTGGCCCGAGGTCAACACTGAGAACGAGACTGAGAACTCCATCATCATGGTCGACGATCGTGACTGGCGGGTGGTCTCGCCTTTTCAGTTATGGTTGACCAAGGAGATCATGTCAAGACCGGCCATGAGCCAGATGAGGAGCGAGATCTTGCCAGGCTCGATCGCCGGTACGCCCGCTCGTCGGCAGCAGTCACTCCTGGCTTGTTCGCGGCTCAGATTTCTCAGAAAAGGTTCAATGAGACCACAGCCACGATCGAGGAACTCGATTAGCCGGCTGAACAGGCCCCAAGATCAGGGCCCTGGCTCTGCCCCGGTGTCGCTGGGCCCTTCGGCAGCCAGCCAGTGAGAACGGCTGATCAGCTATGGAGGTCGATGTTTTTTCACTGGCCATGATCGAGCCAGGTTCGTTTTTGAAGAGATGGAAAAACGCGAAAGCTGATCGTTTCTGCCGCGTTCATTTTTGGATCGGTCCTGGATTTCCTTTTGAATGTATATCTCTATACGTATATACAATCTTTTACAGATATCGGATGTGTTTATTTGATCGTGCGGATCGTTCGGTCGATCGGCCTGAGCGCTGCGGGGGACGAGAGTCGGGAGGAGTTCAAACCAGGCAGGTTCGATCGGTACCTTTGGCCAGGGTTGGGCTCCTCTCTTTCCCACGGTGTTTCCCCCCTTTTGTCCGGGTCTTCGAGGCTCTCGCCGTTCGGATCGTTCGATCGTTGTGCATTGACGTCGCTCGACGCGCTCAGGTCAGATCCTCAGAGCGTGGCGGTAACCAAGATCCCTGGTTGCCGCTTCGGGGGGGGGGGGGGAGCGTGTGCGTTCGTCGGTGTTGTCGCTCGACGGCCCGGGTTTCGTCCGTGCGACCGCCGCTCGGCGAGTACGGGTTCGAGGCTGGGAGACGGGCGCATTTTACCTGATGCATGATCTGTGATAACATATTGTTCAGCTTGATCCATAAGACATGTAGTGATCACCACTTCATTTGTTGTGTTCACATCTCCCACCATGGACCGCTCGATCGCTGCGTTCCTGCAACTGCCCATTTTCGACGAGAAGTTCGTGGATGGGCTGGAGCGCTCAGAGTTCTGGTTGACGCTGGACACAAACGAGAGCGCGGACGAAGATGTTGTCGAACCCGACGTGCCCGAATACGTCGTTCGTTCGAAGCTGCCGTCAAAAGCTCTGGTAGCATCCGACTTACGATGTCACGTTCGGCTGTGCAGTGTCAATCCGACACATACGCTCTGTGGCCGAGTCAGGCTCGCGGACACTACATCCTTCGGCCCTGAACCGCCGGGGATGGTCTGTCAGCACTGTTCAAACAAGCTCAAGTCGGCCTAGACCTAGAGCAATGATTTTTCCTATTTAGATCCAGATTTATACACAGCGCAGAAAAGAAACGAGACAGTGAGTGCTGTGAGTATGTTTCATTTTTCATCCATGAGTCGTGCATGAATTTCTTTAATAATTTTCGATCCGTTATGATTCGGTGCATTCCTTTTTGATCATTTTGGATTTTCTGATTTTTGGGTGACATTAGATCCTTGCTCAAGTCAGCAAAACCCAGAGTACGCCTTATTGAAAAGATTCAATAAGGTTATTGAAATGTGATGTAGTCATTGAAATATAGCTTTTATTGGTATATTTCAATAACTTTATTGGTTTGTAAATCAATAACTTTATTGGTATGTTTCAATAATGTTATTGAAACAAACCAATAACATGTTTCAATAAAGTTATTGAAACAACATACAAACTAAAGAAATATCAACATTGTTAAACTCACTATAATCTGAGAAAATGTTGTTGGAACAACAACCCAAACAGCAGTTGCATGAGTCAATGTTGCCTTGCAAAGGACTTGCAAACTAAAACTTTTATGGCAGAACTTTCCTGTGTGCAGTTGGGCTCTACAGTAGCCAGCCTGGTGTAAGGGCTGGCTTTGTCCATCAACCTTTTGGTTGGGCCCTGCAAAAGGGCTCATGTCAACTGGTCCACACATTGACATTGACTTGCTGGACGGGCGTCCTGGCAGGGAGAAACTTGTTTGCATGAAGCCACAAAAATTGCGGGCCAGGGTTTTGCACCTCTCTTTGAGATGTTGACGCAGGAGGCAGACCTGGAGAAGCTACATCCAGTGCAGCACAAGGGGATGCAATGGGTGGGTGTGGGCCAGCAGAACTACCTTCAATGTGGTGAGCCCACCCTATGGTCGAGACTGCTATTTGTGCTGGAGACCCTGGAGGCAAAGCTACATGGACAATGGGTTCTACAACTGGGTCGACCCATTGAGGTGGCGCTAAAGTGCTTCTGTGTGAGGGCCTGAGAAAGGGCTCTGTGTGGCCCTGAGAAAGGGCACTGTGGGTCCTGAGAAAGGGCACTGTGGGTCCTGAGAATGGGCCTAGGGGTCTGGAAGGTTTGGGCTGCCGAATCTGGACCCAGTGCTAAAGCAGCAGGTGGAGGACGATACTCTGTTGCGGCTGAGGCAGGTATACCTCCATCACCGGGCATCGAAGGCCTCTCCGGTGACGGTGGCCACGGCACTGGAGCAGCCAGATGATCCGGAGGCCTACTTGGGGGAGTCCAAGAGGGAGATCGGAGGAGCCGGACATCAGGCCACGGAAGAAAAAGAAGAGGAGGTGAGCCGGCGCCCTCGCTATCCTACGTACTGGTCGTGGCCGGAGTGGCAGACGGTCAAGAAGATGTGGGACCTCTTTGAGGTGCGATTCGACCAAGGACCAATGGGACACTCCCGCCGAAAGCCGACGAGGCTAGGCACGAACATGCAGAGGCTTAAGGAGCTTGAAGGCCTTCGTGGACCAGGTCATGGTGGAGAAGATCATCGGGGAGACAGCATCCAGGAGAGGATCGCGAGATCAAAGTCCTGGGCAGCATGGGCCCCTGGCCTGAAGGCAGCTTTGGTGGTAGCAGTGAGGGAGTCGCTGGAGAAGGGCGACCCTCGGATGAGGAGGATGGACCTCAATGCCTGGAAAAAGCACCTTCTCAACGGGCATCTGCCCTATAGCAGAGAATGCAGGGCATGTGTCGTTGCTGCCTCGAAGAGTAAGGCCCACAGACGCGTCCCGCACCCGGACGCTTATACCCTCTCGATCGACACTGCTGGACCGTTTGAGGTGGCGGAGGACCAGCTGGGGAAGGGACGCTACTTGCTCGTGGGCGTCTATTTGGTTCCGGTGACGAAGGATGGACAGTCACTCATTCCCATCAACGAGGAGGATGAACTGCCTGGAGTCCTAGAGGATGGCCCGGAGCTGACGGTGGTC